TGAAGGAAGAAATGACGTGGGTGGGTCTTGCTAGACACTCGCCATCGCCATGGGCTGTGTGAGTCTCATGCCTTCCCATAGTGCAATATAAAACTATCGCATGGAAAGACAAAAAGGTGCCAGTCGTGTGGCTATACGGTTGAACGGGGTTTCTGGAATTTGCAACAGTTGGATTCTCATTCTTGAGGTGTTTAAAAAATCTTAAGTATTCACGAACAAACATGGTCTATAACACATTTGTGGCAATCAATAATATACGAGTACTTCTTCCACTTCGCGTTTACCAGCTGTAAACTTTGGTGGAAAGTTCTGGTTGTTTGTCCACTTCTGGACTGCAGTCCTGTTCCAGAACCTGAGCGTTGCTTGTGCATCCGTTTGACATAAATGACTCATTTGTGTGCAGACTGTTGGTTCCTAGCCTCTCAGGCAGATGCACTTCGACTTCTAAGGAAGCTTCCAATTAGTCGACTCTTACAAAATGCTTTTGGGTACAATAGATAAAGTGGTTTGGACACCTAACAAGAATGCCCTGGTACTATCTGCCACAGCGAGCCACACTGAACCGTTACAACGGGTATAGAGCAAGTGGAAGACCTCGGAAAATATGGAGTGATGGCGTTAAGAACAGCCTTACAGAAATGAACATCAGTCTTAATAGTGCTCTTGGCAGAGCTCATCAACGTACACTACATCTCCCCCCGACACTTCGATGAGGTACAAGGTGGAAAAGAAGAAGAAGAAGAAGAAGAAGTGGTTCTGTTCTTGTTCTCCATATAATAGGGCCCCAGAACCCACGCGGAAAAATGAACTTATTTGGAATACCAAATGAGCCAGTTGACCTGAAGATGAATAGTGTTTGCTTTCTGTGCGTTCGTCCTTACAATAGCGCCTGACGCGATGGACTATGGTTTACAGCTAGTCCGTGATATCTGCGCCTTTCTTCTCTACACGTCACATTGTAATCTTTTACGACATGCTTGATAAAGAATAGTCGGTCTGTTCAACCCCCCACCCCCCCCCCCCATTTGTGTGTGTATAATGGGACCCAGGAAGCCACACTCCAGCTTTAGTAACATCGTTTTTTGTGAAAATGTCTACTTTCCTATTTAATTGCACCATACCATGATCAACTTCCACTTTTACTGTCAAACGTCGTGGGGAGGAATAGATGATGGTATAACGAGCTAAATGAGGCATTTGCTGTTTTGATTCCACGTTTCAAGTACAATGTCTTTCATGTCATCGGTCCATCTTCAGCTGGGAAAGACGCAGTTAGTTAGTTAGTTAGTTAGTTAGTTAGTTGGGTTATCATCATTGCACTCCGGACATGTCCATAGGTGCTCAGATTCTCCCCTCAGTATGAATCCCAACGTCCGATGGCTAATAGTACCAGTTCTATGTTGATTAACAAGTCTTCTGACGTGTCCGGTGTGCGTCTCGTTTTTTGCTGTGCCGATCTTAATTCCCAAGTCTGCCATTCTGGCGAGTGATGTGGATTCACTGCCACCAAAGTCCTCTATCTTTCCCATTTCTCTGAGGGCATTGATAATATCAGCATGATCCATAGGCCGACCGTCGGTAGTGATAGCGGATCCAGCCAATCTGTCAGCTCTTTCATTTCCATCGACGCCTGCGTGTCCCGGAACAAAAATAAAGGTGACTCCTCGCACAGTGGACTTCTGAATTGATTCAAGCCATTGTCTTCGCACTGAACCTGCCTGAACCTCCGGATCATACTCATTGAATCACTGAGTATACATATGCGGGTGTATTTTTGTGTTTCAAGCCAGGCAAACGCTTGCGTCACTGCCATCACCTCCATCGTCATGCTGCTGGTTGTCATGGAGAAGGCGCCGTTGGCTTCTTTGACTGTTCTGCCCGCTGAGCGTGCTGTAAATGCCCATGCGCTTCTTCTTTGGCGTATAACTGATCCGTCTGTATAGATTAGTGCATCTGCTTCGTCTGAATTTTCACCAAAGAGAGCGTTGACCTCTGCATTAACAGCAACAGGATTATCTTCTCTACATCGCCTGTTGAGTGTGACAATACAGGAAAATGTACAAATAAACGCCTGAGGCACAGGTATCCATTCTGCACCAGGTATGATGTCGGTTAGGCTGCATATTTGCCTAATAACATCTTCTGCCCGACCTAGCCACGATTTTCCCCTCTTCAGTCTGTCGCCCTTTTCACTAAAAAGCGCTTGATGCAGTGGGTGTTTCTTATCAGCACACATTTTGAGGTATGCCCGAGCCCTCCACATCCTGATCCTTTGGTTCATTGTTGGAAAGTCAAGTAGATACCTCATTGCTCCACAGGATGTGTCTCTTGTACATCCCAAAATAATACGCATGGCTTCATTTTGCACCTTCTCGAGTCGTTCAATCTGGGTAGCACTGACAGTGAGGATGGCCAGAGCGTATTCAATGGGGGAAAGGACCAGACCATAGAATAGAAGCACCAGCAGTCTTTGCTCGATATTGGAAGCAGCCATAATCCTCATTGCAGATAGACCTTTGCGTGCTTTTGTTATCGCATGGTCAACGTGTTCCCTGAATGACAAGCTGCGATCGAACCTCACCCCGAGAAACGTCATAACGTTGGTTCTGATCAATACATTATCACGCATTTTCACTTCTGGTAAAGACGCAGTATTAGTGATTAGAGAGGATTATATCGTCACAGCGCTCCGGACAGATCCATTGGTGCTCCGATCTCCTCCTCAAAAGCTCCACAAGTGTAAAACGACTGATGACGCCTGTTCTGTGTTGGGTAATGAAACGTTTTGTCCCCTTAGTGAAATGTTCATTTCTTGCAGCTCCAGGCTGCACCCCATGTCCATCAGTCTAGACAGGGATACTGAGTGAAAGACGCAGAATGCCTAGATAAAACGAAGTGACGGTCGGCAGTACCTAACTTAGAGAATAAAATGGAAAGATATAAAACCGAACGAAAAGTAGATCATTTTGCTTCACAAAATAACAAACATAAACGAAAAGTGGACGTTGCGGCTATGAAGCCTTCATCAGCACATAGATAAATCTAACAAAACCACAGGAATACACATAATTACGTAATTGACGTATCCCTAAGCAATCACGTTGATGTCTTGCCAGTGGAATGAAGAGACACGTGTGGCCTGGGAATGCCAAGAGCCGTAATTCGAGAATTTAAAATAAAACAATGTTGACAGTTTAGTTTTGGTCACCAAGGTGAAAATAAAGCGATTCTTATTTCTCTGGAGTGGCTAAATGTAATGGTTGTCGCCTCCATGTCGTAAACAGCTTGGTGATCTGAAAATTGAAGTGTAACGGTACTGGTGTCATGGTGCCGCTTTGCACATCCAAAAGATATTGTCTGAACCTGTCAGCCAGTCTTAGACCCATTTTGCCGATGTATTTTGTCACACCTTTTGAAGTTGATGGCGTAAATGACATTGCAACTCATGCAACAGACTGCCCCACGTATGTGGAAGGTGGCATTCGGGAATTCCATACTTTTCCCCTGGACCACATATGGACAAGTCTTGCATACAGGTCTAGGGTAGGAGACTCTTGACTAGAACGTCCTTGAGGTTACGGTCATGTCTGTAGACCGCTAGAGGAAGTTCAGAGAAGATCGTGCTGGTGGCGGAGTCAGTCCTTAGGATGGAGAGATGCCTGAGGGGATTATTGTTAGCACGGATGTTGTGAGGGTGGTAGGTAGGTATGAGTATGAGTATAGGTCTCTTGGGGTGATGCTTAGACTTGGAAGTACCTACAGCGACGCCACTGACATAACTAAGGGAATGCACACTTTTTCCCTCTCCTGGCGAACTGGTCAAGCCGTTTGCCTCGCGCTGCAAAGGTCTTCGGTTCTTTTCATGGCCGCGTCGTTCAGTTCACTAGTGAACACGTAAATTTACACAAATAAACGGAAGGAGGGGGGGGGGGGGGGGGGGCTGCACACAAACATCATGTATAATAAACAAACCAACAAGGTATTGATGGGCACTGACAGAAAGAAACAGAAAGATAGAAGGACACATTAGACAACATAAAAATTTTTGCTAGGGGGGGGGGGCGGGGGGGGGGGGGAGGGGAAAGGAAGCCAGGAGGCCTGAGCGACAATGTTCCGGGGCCTATAAATTGTTTATATCACCCTACCCCTCTATGATGTTCTGATGTGAGAAATCGGTTGCTGTGTTAAGTAAGTTTTACCCCACTATGACATCCCACAGAGCGATAAACACCGGGTGATACAAAGTGCCACCATTCGGATGAGGATCACCTGTAGAAAGGTCCCGGAAACCTCATTCAGCCGTTAGGTGGTTATATTAAGGCCCCTGGCAACAGCCAAGGTTTGGCCTCAAAATAACGAAACATTGCATCCCACAAGAGGACGACTTCAAGAGAATACAACGGCTGCAGTGTTGCAAGTATGCCCGACAGACCTGACAACAAGAGAATACAACGGCTGCAGTGTTGCAAGTATGCCCGACAGACCTGACAACAAGAGAATACAACGGCTGCAGTGTTGCAAGTATGCCCGACAGACCTGACAACAAGAGAATACAACGGCTGCAGTGTTGCAAGTATGCCCGACAGACCTGACAACAATAGAATACAACGGCTGCAGTGTTGCAAGTATGCCCGACAGACCTGACAGCAAGAGTATATGGCAAATATAAGAAAGGGGAAAAAAACAGTATGTTTTAATTTACAAGAAATGTCACACTCAAGTCGAGAATATCTCAGCTTTGCTGTAAATTTATATAACATTATTATCTAGATTTAAGACAAGTGAGGCAGAAGAAAAGACGAAAGCTGTCCTGTCCATCACCACAAACATATAAGTGATAGTTCTTATCATTTTTATTAAATATTCATTCAACTTTATGAAGTAGGAATTCGTCTCATATTTTCAATGCTGAACACGAGGCCATTCTTCTAGATACTGGTGACACTAGCCTACTACAGAAAAGAGAGCAGACAGATGGAAACTAGACAGTGTTTTCGATGTTATAACGTAAAGTCTAGACTTGAATCCTCTTCTTCATCTTCGTGCTTTTTGTACTGTGACTGGTTCGATATGTCCACCTGCAGATAGAGAGAGAAAACAAAGAACAAGGAATATTGTGGTTTATTTTCTGACAACTAACATGGCATGTAGCAACATACGGATGTGAGTCGTGGACCATCTTCCAGTCCCTAAGAAAGAGAATATGGACTTTCGAGCTGAAATGCTATAGAAAGATTCTCAGAATACCTTGGACGAAATAAAGGATAAATACTGACAGCTTGAAAGATCTGAACATCAAGGAAGATTGGCTAATAAACAGCATCCTGCTCGGAATCTGAAATATTTTGGTTATATCAAGCACCACAACGGATTGGAAAAACTTATAGCAGAAGGCATGGTACCAGGAAGGAGGGGCAGGGGTCGACCCACACGAAGATGGGCATAGGATAAAAGTGACTCGTTGAGTATGAAAGTGCATGAGAGTTGGCGAGAGACCGAGTTTTTTTCAGACAGACCGTGATGAGAGCCACGTTCTGCAAAGGACCTGCTACATGATGATGATAAATAGATCAGTGTTGTGCAATTCAAAAACTCTGATGAGTCAATGAATGAATCAAGAATTGACATAGACATCACTGCACTTGAGACACACCCATACGTGCTTCGTCCCCATGTTAGTCTCTGCCGAAGAGTTCCGGTACAAAATGTACACAGATCTTTGTTACATAACTCTAGATATCCTAACCAAGACCGTCTCCATCTGACGGGCCAGGCTGCTGACGTCACCAAACCCGGCTCACGATACGTTAAGGACAGGTTAAAACCCCCAAATTGAATGTGATCATATCCGCTACTAGTTAAAGATTAAGGGGAAAATTAACTTTAGTGGCTAATATCAACATATTTTCACGGAAAATATCATATTTTATGCGGAAAATAGCCAAATTTGTATTCAACATTTACCAATAGATTTCAAAAACTTATTAAGATAGCCTAATGAAATTTTGCACATAAATTTAACATGATATGTCAAACTCTTTTTGAGATATTGCTGCATAACTCAGACCGAGAACATCATCATCATGCTGATTGGCGCAGGCGATCATGTCTCTCCAAAATCTGCGATCCACAACTGCGTGTATCGGTTTGTGGGTTGACACCCTTCCACGCCAAAGCAAAAGGCTGTAAAGAATATTCTAACGTTGTCTTCCTCTGTCTCTTTTTTTTTCCACAGATCTTTTCAATGGTCACAACATGTTCCAGTTTCCTTTTTCTCATAATATGACCAAAAAATGATGACTGTCTCTTTTCTCTTTCTGATGTTTATGATAAGTTGTCTTCGAGCCTCTTAAAAAAATTCTGGGTTGCCCCCCCCCCCCCCCTCCTTTTTTTTCTTTCTCTCCCCCAAACGAATTCTAAGAATTCCTCTGTAAAACCACATATTGGGCAAATAATTTTGTACTATGAACACTTTCAGACAAGAAAATACCTCGCGATTTTGGGAGAAGGCGTCAAAACGCATGGGGAAATGCATGATTCTGTTGTCACTCAGGTCCAGTTTGGAAATCTTGGGCATCTTCATGATGGTCTCGGGCACTTCTTTCAGCAGGTTGTCGTGTAGATCCAGCTCCTCCAGCTTCACCATCAAGTTAATGTCTTCCGGCAGCTCTTTCAAGTGATTGCTTGATAAGTTCAAGGTTTTTAACCTGAAAGTTACAGTACGTTTTAGCTTTTTAACCTGAAAGTTACAGTACGTATCAGGTTTTTAACCTGAAAGTTACAGTACGTTTTAGCTTTATAACCTGAAAGTTACAGTACGTTTGAGATTTTTTAACCTGAAACCTGAAAGTTACAGTACCTTCTAAATGTTTTAACCTAAAAGTTACAGTACGTTTTAGGTTTTTTAACCTAAAAGTTACAGTACGTTTTAGGTTTTAAAACTATATAATTAGCAGAAAATGATAACAACTTGGGATAGGAGGGGTTGAAATGATAACTGATTGGGATAGTAGGGATTAAAATGACAACTGATTGGGATAGGAGGGGTTAAAATGATAACTGATTGGGACTGAAAGGTGTAAATGTTTTTATTTTCACATTTCAATCAGGGCTTTTGTTTCCCTTTCTAGATGCCACAGTTCCGGTACCCACCACCCAGTGTTTGAAACAGATGACGGAGCGTAAACACAATGTGTCTATTACATTAGTGCTGACAAAAGTGATGTTTAAAAAGGGTGCCAGTATTGCATCTTACAGAATGCATATCAAGAGGGGGAAAGCTTATGTGACCAAAAAAACAAAAACAAACATGGCCCATCCCTAATATTGATGAAGCTCCGGCTCACCGGTACAAATACGGCATATCTTCGGGAATCTCAGCTAGCTCGTTGGTGCACAGATTCAGCAGCAGGAGCGAGGCTAGCACGTGCATGTCTTCTTGGGGAAACTTCATCAGCTGGTTATTTCTCAGGTCCAGGTACACCAGGTGATTCATTCGATTGAACGTCTCCGGCAGATCCATAATGTAGTTGTAGGACAGGTCGAGGTGGTACACTTTGTTCAGCTGTCGCAAATGGTGGCAGAGGATTGCTCAGTTGAGGAAATGCAAAGTTATACAAAATGGCAAAATGGTGTTTATAAGCAAAGTAATGGACCCTTTTCCACGCCTTTAGGCGTATAAGGCATATAGTCTAGACCTATATTTTATAGACCAATCGGCACGAGATTGGCGATGTGGTCAGCATCACGTGTGCCGCCTTTACTTCTCGGGACTGCACCCGGTACCCACTCAAGGCTGGGTCGACATGGGAGCCAAGGTCATAAAAAATAAAAAGTTCGGCACCGCCAGGAAGCGAACCCACGACCTTCCGACCCGGAGGCGAGCGTGTGGTGTTCATAGCACTAGCACATGTGTAGAAGTTTAAAGGAAATCAAAATAATGCTAAACATAAAATGTGTTGTCCCTAATGCCTAAGGCATTCTGCTATATGTAGTAAAAACATTGAAGAGCAACTAGAAAAATTACTAATAAACTACAAATATTCGTTAAGGGGGCTGCGTGGTCTCGAGGCATGGTGTCAGCCTCGAGTGCTAGAGGTTCGGGGTTAAATCCCCGGTAAGGGCTGAGATTTTTTCACGTGGACTTGGATTTCTAGAAATGCCCTCTGGTCTCTGGGTAGTGAGATCGGACGCCCGTGTGCATTGTTGTGCTCGTAAGAAATCCCCTGGCATTTGGAAATCGAAACGCTGCCTAACGGTGCAGCCCGGGCAAAATTTGGAGATGAAAATCTACCCAAAGTATTTCAGGATCCTCGCCGGTGCTAGAGAGCCTGTGCACTGAGCTAAGCTTCTTCGGACTCAGACTTGAGTTGGAAGAAGAACAGAGCACTTATGGGTTACTACCCGTGTGCCATGATGTTGATCCGTTGTTCAAACCTCAAACCCGATCGCCTACAAAGGCGTTGGAGTTCATCAATTGTATCACATTCAATCATGCAACGCTCTACCACTACTTGTTCTTGTATGAGCATCTTTTAAACCACACGAGTGTGAATCGGTTATATAGTATTTACCATCGTCATTCATGAACCCAATAGACTTTGATGCAACAATCAAAATTCCTGCCTGTTGTTGGTTAAACAACGTAAGCAATGCATCACCCAGTGTATTTCCAACATCATTTTGGTGTATTTGACTTGCAAGTTCCCCTCACAGATCATTACTATGATCCCACTTAATACAACAGATTAGGTCAAACATTCGTTAACTGGTACTTGTGCAGAATACTGGTAAGTAAACGGTATGGCAAAATCATAAAAAACAAAGTCATGTTAAGCAGGAAATAGAGAAAAGATGCTGACGCTGGATAGGACACGTTAAGAAAACTTCAGAACATCATAACTAGGAGAGCCTCACAGTGGAGCCAGCAATGGCAAAAGAAAAAGAGGCAGACCAAAATTCACACTGAACGGGGACTGAAAAGTGGAGCTTAAAAAATGGGGGAGGAGGGGGGGGGGCGCATTGTGTCAGACGCATGCAAGAGCAAAGAAAAGGACGACTTGGCGTGATTTGGCGAGGGCCTATGCTAAACATGGGGACGCAGGCATTAGGAGAAGAATGTAACGTAAAGTGTTGTAGGGTAGAGAGGGACAGTACCCCACGGTGACAGTACCTGCCTCCTAGAGGGACACAAATCACCCTGAAAAGGAAAAACTTAAACTTCACACCTCCTATGGCCCAGTAACGCGGTTACTGAACATCGTAATCAGTCAAAAAGGGCTCTTTACACAACGTAGCTCTCGTTTCGAGTTTCTATGGGTATATTAAATGCGGTAGTCTCCCCTTGCTTTCCACATCCAAAAGCTGGGCACATTAACCTTCGGAACAAGACCAAAATACAGCAGTGGACGAAAAAACCAGGAAAGTATGCCACTTTACAGCCGGTTAACGTGAAGAAAGAAGAAGAAGAGGAGGAGAAAGAGGAAAAAGAAGAAGATGATGATGAAGGAGAAGAAGAAGAAGAAGACGAAAAGGAAGAAGAAGAAGCAGCAGAGGAAGAACGAGGAGGAGGAGGAGGAGGAGGAGGACAAGAAAGAAGAAATAAAAAAATGACAGCTCCATCAGAGAAGTTGTTGGAACTACGTACTTTCATGAGCGTGTACGGAACCGCGGTGATAGAATTGTGCGACATGTCCAAATACTGAAGCTGATGCAACAGATCCACGGTGATGGGTAATTCGGGGATCTTGTTGTTGTGCAGATCCAGGTGTTCTAGATGGCGACAGCGCTGACACAGCAACATCGGAAAGTTGTCAATCTGTCACAGGACCAACAAAAAATGTGTCAATCTGTCACAGAAACAAGTCATAATTCGTCAATCTGTCACAGGACCAACACAAATTGTGTCAATCTGTCACAGGAACACCACAAAATGTGTCAATCTGTCACAGGAACAACACAAAATGTGTCAATTTGTCACAGAAAGAAGTCATAATTCGTCAATCTGTCACAGGAACAACACAAAACTTGCCATCTGTCACAGGAACACCACAAAATGTGTCAATCTGTCACAGGAACAAAACAAAATGTGTCAATCTGTCACAGGAACAACACAAAATGTATCAATCTTTCACAGGAACAACACAAAATGTGTCAATTTGTCACAGAAAAAAGTCATAATTCGTCAATCTGTCACAGGAACAACACAAAATTTGCCATCTGTCAGAGGAACAAAACAAAATGTGTCAATCTGTCACAGGAACAACACAAAATGTGTCAATCTGTCACAGGAACAAAACAAAATGTGTCAATCTGTCACAGGAACAACACAAAATGTGTCAATCTGTCACAGGAACAACACAAAATGTGTCAATCTGTCACAGGAACAACAAAAAATGTGTCAATTTGTCACAGGAACAACACAAAATGTGTCAATCTGTCACAGGAACAACTCAAAATGTGTCAATCTGTCACAGAAACAAGTCATAATTCGTCAATCTGTCACAGGAACAACAAAAAATGTGTCAATCTGTCACAGAAACATTCAAAATTCGCTGATCTGTCACAGGAACAACATATAATTTATCAATCTGTCACAGGAACAAATCATAATTCGTCAATCTGTCATACAAACAGCACAGAATGGGTAGGGCCCCGCCAAAAAAACCTAAGTGCGATTTTGACGATATTCTCCCAGGCGCATTGCCAGGGCGGTTATTTGTCTTTTTTTTTTAAACACGCACGAGGCACGAATGCAGTGCCGGTTCTTGTAGTTAGCTAAATAAGCTACAGTTTCGGCCCTCCTACTCTGCAGGGGCTTGGGCGTGGTTTGTGTGATGGGTTTGTTCATCTTTTTACAGGTTTCACACAGCTACACCTTTTATCCATCTCTTTCTGGGTCTTCCTCTCACCTCCCCCCAGACGGTCTGCTGTACCAAGTCTGATATGAAGTCTGGTCTTGCTGCATTCTCACTAGAAGGCCGAACTATTTTATTTTGTGTCTGTCAATATGTTTCAGACACAGTCTCATTCCAACTCTCTCTAATGTTGGTTTTCGTAACCCTGTCTCTTCTTGTATTGTTGGTGACCTTACGGAGACAGCGCATCTCACAAGTTTGTGTGTGTGTGTGTGGTTATAGTGCCCTATTCATTGTCCATGTTTGGGCACTGATAGCATAAAGTAAGTTTGAAGAGGTAATACTCATTCGTCTTCTTTACGTCCTCTTTCGTCCTCTTTTACCGCTTCGGGTGTCGAGGGAGATACAAGGTCTTGCTTCGTGCTCCTCAGGCTGCCTCGACCAGAGACACATCGTAGTGCTGTAGAGTTTCTCTGTTGTTATTAATCATTGACATGTATAAACAAAAACTTACAAAGAGAACTTCTACACATGGTGGGGGAGGGGGGAGGGAAAGGGGGGGGGGAACTACTGTGCCCAATTAAATATACACCCCCGCCCGCCCATCACCTATCCACATTGGGGAGGGAGGAGGGAGGGAGGGCTGACATGGAAGCAGAATAAAACAGGTTTTTGCATCCCTAGTGTTTTTCCCCCCCCCCCCTTCTTTTCTTATTATTTTATCAGAGTAGGACAGCAGCCACTGTGTTTTAGCGGCTAGACGTTCATGTGCGGACCCGAAGGTCGTGGGTTCAAATCTGGAAGGTGCTGGATTTTTAAAAAATGACCTCGGCACCTATGGTCGACCTAGCCTTGAGTTGTTGCTAAGTAAAAATCTTGGAAAGCGAAGGCGGCCGGCTTGATGCTGACCTCACCCACCATCAAATACCGATTGCTTTATAAAATGTAAGTCTAGCCCTATATGCACATTGCTTCTGAAGGCAAGAACAACGGCCCTTTATAAGAGCAACCAGGGCCTCAGTCAGTACCTTATTGTTGGCTAACTTGAGCGTGACCAGAAACCGCAGCTGACAGACGTTGTCTGGGAACCCGGACAGGTCGGTCCCGGACAGATCCAGGAAAGTGATTCTCTTGGCATGCTCCCTATCTCCCAGGTTTTTGATGATGGAGTCTGGGCCTCCCATCTCAACCGGGTTCTCTGCCATGTTAAAGATCTGTGAAAGCAAGGAAGATCATTGCCGTTAGTTAGTTGCGTATTCTTTATATGTAAAAGTAAAGGGACTCTTTTCCACACCTTCAGGCGTCTTGGGCATATAGGGCTAGACCTCTATTTGATAGACCAATCGGCACTTGCTGGGTGATGTGGTTAACATTATGCCGGCCGCCTTTACTTCACGCGATAGTGGGCCGAAACGCTCGTTGACGAGGATAATTTCTACTTACGACTGGTAGATCCCTGCTGCACTTGCTCCCTGTGAGTTTATTCCTACCCACGCGACTGCACCTGATAACCACTCAAGACGGAGTCGACTTGGAAGCCAAGGACATTTTTTAGGAAAGCCCGGTTTCGTCAGGACCCGAACCCACGTCCTTCCGATCCGCAGGCGAGCGTCTAGCCACTACACCACGGCGACACCCCCCTTAAATGTGTTTTCCACTCAGATCAGCATTGCCTCCCCCTACCCCTTGCTAAAGGAGCAGAAGAACGATCCTCAAAGGTGCCAGGTTCCCTCCATAAGAGCCGTGGAGAGATCCTGCATCATCACGCTCAGAGGCAGTGGCTCGATCTCGTCCTCCTGGATTTTGTCCTGCTCCCGTTTATTTGACGTTTCGGTAAGAAAACCTTCAGAAATTATCACAAAAAGTAAGATCATATCCTTTATATTGCATTACTAACCCCCATTTATTTGTGGGGCTGATGTGTGTAGACCTACTATGCAATTTCACTTTCAGTAGTTTGCTATTGTCATGAACGGTGGCGCCCGCACACCACTGTCGATATCAACGCAAAGCGGTCTGAGGCCGAATCGAGTGGGGTATTTCGGAACTGCAAGCGCGTCCCTGACGCCTAATCTACAGACGCCGGCTTCACAGTAGAGAGAGAGAGAGAGAGAGAGAGAGAGATAGAGAGAGGGGAAAAAACATCAATATCACTTGTAAGTTGAACCAGTAAGGATAAAACAATATATGGCGTAATTGACTGACGGTCATATTTTGTTATACCACTAAAGACATGGAACAAAAGTTAAATGCATTTGAAAAAAAAAATGCCTAAGGAAAATTCGATGAATTTAAGTACGGTAAAGAAAAAAGAGATGTCTGGGCAACCATTGTAACAACAGTTACAAGACAACGAGGGCGACGCTATACTGGACACATCCTGGAAAGAAATCAGCAGGGAATCACCAAACAGGTATTACGATAGGAAATAAAGGGACTGAGTTAGTGAGGACAGTTAAAAAAAACAATAACTTTAAAATGAAAATTGACGAGGGAGGTCAAAGGTGCTGGACTGGATTCTGTTCTCCTGGTGTGGGTTTCGGAGCCCCATTGTGGGGGAAAACAAGAATAGACCCACTGCCTCCACAAGAAGCATGTCGTAAGAGTCGACTAATCGACGGTTTCCTTCGAAGTCGGAGTGCATCTCCTCGAGCGACAAGGAACAACTAACTGCACACAAATAAACCAGTAAAACGGATGTACACGCAAAACTCAGGCCCTGGCACAAAGCCAAAGTCGAAACGAACGAACAACCAGGAGGACTTCCCGGCTGGAGCTTACAGCCGGTGAACAAAGAAGACAAATGAGGACGATTCCATACATGACATGGAGGTACTGAACAGGATCCAACGATATGGAACAAAAGACTGTGTAACCCTGCGACACATGATGGCGCAACAGGACAATTCATGAATCTGTGGCTGTCCCAGCAGGTGCATTGCTGCCTGGTTTGAGGTTTGAACAACGGATCAACATCATGGCACATGGCTAGCAACCCATAAGTGTTCCGTTCTTCTTCTAACTCAAGCCTGAGTCCGAAGAAGCTCTGTACAGTGCACAGTCTCTGTAGCACCGGCGAGGATCCTGAAATACTTTGGATAGATTTTTCAACTCTAAATTTTGCACTGGCAGCGCCGTTAGACAACTCTTTTCGATTTCTACCTGCCAGGGAATTTTTTACGTGCGCAACATTGCACACGGGCGTCTGATCTCACTACCCAGAAACCAGGAGGAATAACTAGAAGTCCAAGTCCACGTGAACAAATCCCAGCCCTTTCCGGGGATTGAACCCGGAACCTCTAGCACTCGAGGCGGACACCATGCCTCGAGACCACGCAGCCCCCTGCATTCCTGGCTGTAAAGCACAAACGACGAATCCTTAGATCACACGGCCTCTTGTTACGCTGTAGATCTCATCAAGGTATTCTAAGATTAACCACTTGATCATCTTAATAGTCCGATCTGCATCTGTCTGAGAGGCAAGTAACCAACAGTCTGCATACACATAAGTTAGATCTGTAAAACAACTGTCCGTAAAAACTCGAGTTCTAGATCAAGAGCAAAGTTTAGAAGTGGACGAAACCCCAGAGACCAGTGTCCACCTGCATTTTTGTAACCCCCGTATTTCTCTTTTTCTTGATATTCATAATTTGCAAATTAAAGAGAATTAATGATGATGATGATGAATGGCACAAAAGGACGATGAATGAATGAACTATTATGTGGAAATATCAAAAGTTGCCAAACAACGTAATCACGGAACAAACCTCTACAGTCTGAGGAAGAAATGCATCATGTATACGGTTTCCTTGGAAGTCAAGCTCCAGCAGGTGCTCCATGCACGATATGGAACGAGGCAGCTCGGACACTCTGTTGCTGCCAAGGCGCAGAATTTCAAGGGCCCGCAGTTTCCACATATCATCTGGCATCTTTTTCACCCTGATTATTTTAATGAAGAGACATTAGAAGAGACTGACTTCTGATGCTTCGTGATCAGTTTCTTTACACTTTTTTGCCAGGTAGTAGTCGCTATTCATTCAACACAAGCCCTAACCCTAACCCCCTCCCTACCCCATAATATGGTACTATCCATTGAAACCCCTAGAAATTCCCTACGAAATCTCGAAGCCGACAAGATGTGGTCGTATAAAATTTAAATACCAATTACTTTCGTTGTTACTTCATAACTTTAGTGAATATGTGTTTCCGATTGTCTTAGGCGACCCCTGTGAAAGGCTCCTTCGACCCCCAAAAGGTTCGCGACCCATAGATTGAGAACCACTGGTCTATACGGATCTACCCCCTTCGGGAAGGGGGTTGGGGGGGGGGGGGGAGTTTATTCTTTTTCTTCTTTCGTTCGCTTGAAATAGTTTGACTTGCACCTATGACTGGTAGTCTGGTAGTCTTAGTTTCAGCTTCATAGCAAACGGGTTGCCCCATCTTTGCTCCGCTCCTGTGCCAGCGAAAAACACTCAGAATGTTTATCACAGTCCCTTGTGGAAAGATTGACAGACTGCTGTCTCAGCATATCTAGCATACACTCGCATTAAAGCATATGGTAGTGCCAGTCGCACTTAAAGAATCGAAGTGCTAACACAAACAGTCCAACATTAGAAATACAGTTCATCATGTGATGATAGCAGCAGACTTTGTCGTCAACAGAAAAGATCAGCAATTGTCCGCGTGATCAATTTTAATACGGGTCCCGCAAGCAGATTGAACGACAGGCATCGCGCCCATTTTTACGGCGTCCCGCATGCTGAACGACTCTCTGACAATTTACACCACCACGTTGGTCACAGTCGAAAAAAAAAAACATTCCAAATGCAATCCGCAGCTCACAGGGTCACGCCATGCATTCAACTCAGAAGCTGGCGACGAAAAACTATATCCAGTCTACAAATGGAGCAAAAATGCATCGGCCACCGTCCGGGAGAAGCAAAAAATTTGCCTCTGTTTCCGAACGGCGCCGCTGTCTAGCGTCCATTTTAAACCGGAAGCAACCTATGTCTTTTTTTGGGGGGGGGTTTTTTTTTTGGGGGGGGGGGGGGGGGGGGGGGCAGGGGCAAAGTTTTTGCCTTGATATGTTGTATTTGGGACAGTCTTGGAGGACATGATCTGTTGTCTCAGGTGCCAGTCCACACACATGTGCACAAGACTAATTCGCCGTTTTTTTTTTAATTGTTTGTGTACATGTGGCTGCTAAGTCGACTGTGTCCTGTTCTAAGGCGTAAAATAATAACTTGCTCTGGTCTGTCCATAAAATGGTTATAAAGCTAGAATTATGAACAAATTGAAACAAACCCGATCAGTATGGACAGTCAATTATGTGCAACCGTTAGAGACATTAGAAATGGCGAATAAAAGTAGAAGATTATATACAGCAGTGAGAAGAAGACACACGTTTTCTGGTCATGGGATGATAAAAGGAGCACTGGAAAGTTTTGTGACGACTGGAAAAACGACTGGTAGAAAAGGCAGACTGAGAGAAATGATGGTAGATGGCTTAAGACAGTGGCAAGGAGGAATATCATCAGTGGACTTGCTCCAGAACACCAATGATCGAGATCTCAGGAGACGCATGAACGCTTACGCCAGCTGGCAAGGCACTTGATGATAAGGATGATGATGATTAGGCATCAATGTTACTTCACATTCAACAAAAGGACCAATGCACATTTCAAATTACTTGTTTTTCGTCAGGTCAAGGGTCCGCAAAATCTGGCGCTTTCCTAAAGTTTCTCCGATTTCTCCAATTTTATTATTGGCTGCAAAAATTTCCTTCAAGGATTTAATCCTGTCAGACAGACAAGCTATTGTAAAGTTCGGTAAAAGACAAGCTATTGTTAAATAAAGTAAACAATAGGCTACGGTTAATTACAGTACAAGACACGTTATTGTTAGTACGGTAACTGACTTGCTATTGTTAACTACAGTAAAAGACATGATACTGTTGAAAGTACAAAGTAAAAGATATACTATTGTTAAGTACAGTAAAACACAAGGATCCTGCCTACGTCAGCCGCGAATTGGGGATTTGATGCCGCTAGCTGATTTGGTACAGATGACTTCTTCTTCTTCTTTCGTTCGCCTGAAATAAGTTGTCTATATCAGCAATTTTGTTCTCAATTCATTCAGTGGTCCATAGAGTTTACGTTCCACTGTTGTTCTTTCTGGCCAAAAGGGAACAGATGACGGCTTTGGCTTGTAGGTCAAGCCAGCCGTTTTTTTTCTTCTTCAGCAATCGATGTTCCTATGCATCTATTCCAGTGTGGGTCATAAACAGGACAGTGCGTTTGAGGTTTTCACCCGTGCCCCATAGTTTCTCTTGTAGAGACGCTCTTATAGGCCAGCGTCAAGAACTTAAGTGTTGCGTGCACATCCATTTAACAGACCTGACTTAATTGTATGCAGATTGTGGGTTCCTTGCCTCTCAGGCAGATACACTCCGACTTCGAAGGATAATAATGAGTTAATGTAACACATATCCTGATATAATAAGTAACACCTGTCCTGATACAATGAGTGAGTAACACCCCTCATGCTACAACAAGTTAGCAACACGTGTCCCGATATGACGAGTAACACCTGTCCTGACTATTAACACCTGTCCTGATATGACGAGTAACACCTGTCATGATATGACGAGTAACACCTGTCCTGAAATGATGAGTAACACCTGTCATGATATGACGAGTAACACCTGTCATGATATGACGAGTAACACCTTCCATGATATGAAAAGTAACACCTGTCATGATATGACGAGTAACACCTTTCATGATATGATGAGTAACACCTTTCATGATATGACGAGTAACACCTTTCATGACTGGACAAGTAACACCTTTCCTGATATGACGAGTAACACCTGTCATGATATGACGAGTAACACCTTTCATGATATGACGAGTAACACCTGTCCTGATATGACGCGTAACACCTGCCCTGATATGACGAGTAACACCTGTCCTGATATGACGAGTAACACCTGTCCCGATATGACGAGTAACACCTGCCCTGATATGACGAGTAACAGCTGTCATGATATGACGAGTAACACCTGCCCTGATATGACGAGTAACACCTGTCATGATATGACGAGTAACAATGTCCTGATATGACGTGTAACACCTGTCATGATATGACGAGTAACAATGTCCTGATATGACGAGTAACACCTGTCATGATATGACGAGTAACACCTTTCATGATATGACGAGTAACACCTGTCCTGATATGACGCGTAACACCTGCCCTGATATGACGAGTAACACCTGTCCTGATATGACGAGTAACACCTGTCCCGATATGACGAGTAACACCTGCCCTGATATGACGAGTAACAGCTGTCATGATATGACGTGTAACACCTGCCCTGTTATGACGAGTAACACCTGTCATGATATGACGAGTAACAATGTCCTGATATGACGAGTAACATCTGTCATGATATGACGAGTAACATCTGTCATGATATGACGAGTAACATCTGTCATGATATGACGAGTAACATCTGTCATGATATGACGAGTAACACCTGCCCTGATATGACGAGTAACACCTGTCCTGATATGACGAGTAACACCTGTCCCGATATGACGAGTAACACCTGCCCTGATATGACGAGTAACAGCTGTCATGATATGACGTGTAACACCTGCCCTGATATGACGAGTAACATCTGTCATGATATGACGTGTAACACCTGTCATGATATGACGTGTAACACCTGTCCTGATATGACGTGTAACACCTGTCATGATATGACGTGTAACACCTGTCATGATATGACGTGTAACACCTGTCATGATATGACGTGTAACACCTGTCATGATATGACGTGTAACACCTGTCATGATATGACGTGTAACACCTGTCATGATATGACGTGTAACACCTGCCCACATCTAACCTCTACCTGGACCCAGGAGGACAAACAGATGTTCACTCTCTAAGGCAGTGACTCTCAGCCTTCCTAATGCGGCGACCCTTCAAGGACAGGTTATACCCTCAAAATAAATTTGATTATATCTGCTGGAAACAATACTTCATGTAGGTACATACTAGTTAAAGATTAAAGGAACATTAGTTGGGGGGCTAAAATCAACATATTTTCACGGATATTGATTGAAAATGTCATATTTTATGCGGAAAATAGCCAAATGAGTTTTCAATATTTGAAAATGTGCACATACATTAAGAATTATGTTTCAAACATTGTGAACTAAAAAAAAAAAAATGACTGAAAGATATGGTTTAAAAGTTATGCTCACTTCAATGGTACAATAATGTTTTTTTCAAAAAAATTAGGGCTAAGGGTTATCATAGATGACAAAAACTCATAAGGTATTCCAGCTGCTGTATTCATTCTAGTTCAGTCTGTTTCAATGTTATTCTTCTATGTGTGTGCCAAGTTTGGAAACAGTATGTTACTATTGGTCTTCACCAATATTGTGACGACAGGCCACGCGCCATTTTCTGAATCTACAATTCACAACACAATATCACGTTGGTCACAGTCGAAAAACATTTCAAACGAAATCCGCAGCTCACTGGGTCGCACCATGCACTCATCTCAGTGGCTGGGCGACGAAACTATTTTCTTTCAGTCTACAAATGGAGCAAAAATGCAATGGCCCCCATATGTCAGAAGTAAAAACGTTGCCACGACTCGAAACAGCGGCCGTGCCTAGCGTCCATTTTGACAGGAGCTAACTTTTTCAGATATCATTGCAAAACATATTAAAAAATATCAATAAAAGTTGTGATTTTTGAGAAAATCGCAAAAAAGTAACTGACCAAGCTAGTTTTTACAATAAATTTGTACCCGATGAGTCACTGCTGCTTATGAATCATCCTCAGGGTATTCCTCAGTTGTTTTAATACTTCACCTTGCTATTTTTATCTTCTTAAGCATTTCCCCCTT